TAGGAGGCTTCATGGGGTTGATTCGGTTGCATATTGCAGGCCGTCTGGGGGCCTGTTGGGAGTCTCTTCGGTTGTCATGAGGCCGCGCGGGTGACACTTCGGACCCGCCAGGGGCCTCTTGGGAGCCTGGAGTTGGTATCGGCGGACGCACTGGGTGGAAAAGCTCATGGCGTTCTGGGGCCGTCTTGTGACGATCGTGGGGCCGTTTGGACAGTCGTGGGCGCTTTCCAGGCCTCGTGCGTTATGTCTATCATGTCGCTGCAAAATCAAAGGTGTTTGACTATTCAAGCTTCATGGGCCGACCGAGGGAGCCTTCAAGGCGGCTCAAGATTCGCCCGAGAAGTGCTCTAGACGGGCGTTTGGTCGGCCGCATGCTTGCACGCATGCAGGCTTGGAGCATCGAATCACGTACGCCTGCGCGTCACGAAGAGTGCCCGTGCACGGCTGCGGTCTTGCTACATGCAATCGATATCAATCGGCATGCTCACTGTGCGCCGTCGGTGGGCACACCAGGGGTCCAGCTACGTGCACCTCGTCAGCATTACACTTGATCGACTCGTTTGCCACGGTATCGCACTCGCCTTCTCCAGGAAGGTGGAGACGTCCTTGGAAATGGCACGTTCCATCGTAATACCATGCTGCACGGCATCCGTTTGTATTCGAACATGATTGTTGATTTAGTTGGTCTGCTTACATGCGCTTGCGGCGCTTGAACCATGCACCGTACTTCACGAAAGCAAGCTTGATCGTGTCTAGGGCTCATGACGGAGACGCCCCGCAGTTGCTTTGAACGCATTTTCCAAACGAGCTGGGATTCCGATCTCTGGGCGCATACCTTTGGGACGGGGCCGCGCTGCGTGACACCAAGTCTGTTTATGTTTCCCTTGCCACTAGAATTTCCTCCTGGACCAGGTTTGCATCTTGACCCACTCCGGCGCCGAATGGGTTTCCGAATGAGCTCCACTCCACGAGGGTTCTGGGCAGGGGGCTTGTTCGGCCACCGAAGGGACTCGATCATGGGTCCATCTGGTCGCCGAATGGGCTCAGACGCCGACTGGAGTCAGAGGGCCACCTTAGGGTCTTCTTCCGTGCCCCCTCCATCCATAGTTTCGGCTCAAATCCCTGCGCCCTATCGCATTTTGTGTGGGTTCAGCGGTATAGTTGTCTGACTGAGCGTCGCCAGGAGGAGTTCGTGTGCCCAGAAGTGGAGGCGGAGGAGGAGGAGGAGGAGGCGAAGCAGAAGGACGGGGCGAGGGCGAGGAAAAACGGCGGAGAGATAAAGTATGACGGTGGATGTAGGATTTGGGTTTGTTGAGATACGACATTTCCGAGTGCTTCTCGAAGGGTCATGAAACTTAGTGGACATTTTCCAACCGATATGCGATTTGTTGCGCCGTGTCAGGACACCCTGGCAGATTGACGGTGCAATTCGGCACCAGGCTTTGCCGTGGTCGGCCTTTCGAACGCTTGGATTAGCATGATTATGGTCGGCATGGCCTGTCGCCCACTGGCCCTGGAGGTCGTTCGTGGTCGGCCGTTCACGCGCTACGGTCGCCATTGATATGGCCTTGGGTGATATGGCTTTGGTCGGTCTGGCATCCCGCACGACTGCCCCTGGGGGCTTGTTTCGGCATGGCTTGGGTTGGTACGCCGTGGGTCGAGGAGACATGGTCGGCATGGCACCTTGCACCACTGGTCCTGGGGGCCGCGGTCGGCAGTTCGCGCGTGGGTCGGCATGTATTGGGTCGGCATGGATTGGGTCCTGCACGTGTCTTAGTTTTTCCAGTCGGCGAAGTGACGCCACATTCGCGATAGCAGATGCACGCGAAGCGAGCACATGTCTTGCATCTTGCCTGAAGGATGGGACGGCCGAATTGTGCTGAGAGCGGCGCGCGGATGCGAGAAATTCAACCGACCTGAACATGCAAAGCACGCAGGCCATAGAGAAGAGCCTGCGAGGTGTAAAGGTCTATTTCTGACATGCGAGCCAACACCCACACACACACGCCGTTTTCCCCGCAGCGTTGCACCAAGCATCATGAAGCACGAACGGGACGCGCTGGCGCGACTTGCGGACATGCTTCTGACAATTGCGCCCTCAGCAATTAATCGGCACATCGGGCTCCGCACAAATCGGGCCTAGCGCACATTGGTACACGGATTTGTGCCTTGGAATCCACGCGTTGACAGCATTACGGAAAAATATTGAGAGTCGATTTGAACTAATTATATACTCCGCAACGCTCGCATACCGTGATTAAGTGAGGATGGCCGTGCGCTCCGAATTTCGCCCCGTGAGCCCATGGTAACAGCAACAACACACCCCATGGGAAGACCTATCGCGGAACCCCAATGTTGAAATAAGTTTGGAATCTTCTTTTCTGACCCCTAAGTTTTGATTTCTTCAAAAATATGTGAGAGAGAGGTGCGCGCCCGAGCCCTGAATTTTTGGATGCGCTCTTTTTGTCATGCCACTCCTCTACCTCATCCCTCCTTCCTCCTCCTGTCTCTCTCCTCGCTGTCCGCATCCCCACCATCCTACCAACTCCCTCCTCCCTCCTCCTATCTCTTTCGTCTCTTCTTGCTCCTCCTTCTCCACTCCATGCCGCGGTCCTTCACGCTTCTCTCCTACCACGCCCCTTCTTCTCACTCCGTCGCTGCGTCCCGTCCTCCCGTTGCCTTCTTTCTGCTCCTCATCCACCCCATCCTCCCTATTCCTTCTCCCCCACTCGCCACTCGCTCCTCACTTAGCACCTTCCCTTCTCCATCTTCCCTCATCTCTCTTTCTTGCTCCTTTCTTCATGTCTCCCTCTTCCTTCCGGTATCCTAGTTTACGGCTTGCATCTTTCTTGCAGCGGGGAAGGTAAACAGCGTCTTCCTCCCCCCTGCCCAAAAATAAATACGGTCGAAGAGAAAGGAAGCGGGTGTCGAGAGTTTGGGGTACACGTGTTGAATGCGAGAGTAAGTAAGGGCGACCGTGCTTCAGACAATTATGCCTCTTGTTGGAGCCTAACGATTGCTGAACAAATATTGCTGGTTTCCCCTCACCAGTGCCTTTGCGTTTCCACAATCGAGCTGGGTATGTCAGTTTTGGCACTATGCCCCAGGCAGTGCTTGCACGTAGGGGTCCTTTCTTTTGTAACTAAGGAACCGGTTGGGTCCGACGAGGATTTTCCACATTGCCTCCCTTCTGCTTTGGGTGGGACTGGTGAGGTCTCGTCACGTGACCGCTTCGTGGACGCCCCGTGCGCTGGCTGGGTCCAGCGAGGTGGAACTATCGGTGGTCAAATTTTAGTGTTGGGCCCCTGGGCTAGAAGGAAAGTGCCTCGCGCCTGATATTCCCTTACAGAGTATTCGGTCACCGCGGTTTCAGTAATGACTTCCTTACGGTTCACTCACGGGTCGCGCCCTGGCCTTGAACTGTATTCACATTTGACGCAGGGATCGAGCTCTTCCCGCTCAGCGCGCTCTCGCTGGAGACTTCTCCCATGTTTTGTCAGGAATTGCGCTTTCGCATAGCCATGCCCCACAAGTTCTTCAGGAATTGCGCTCTCGCAAGGGACCTCATAATTTTTCTCGAGACCACGGTCTCGCCACTCAGGAATCGCGTTCTTGCCTGGGACTTCCTCGCCGTCCGCCCGCTTGAGTGCCCCGTCCAACCCGCCCACTAGAGTCCGCCCGCCTGGCCCGCCGGGTAGGGTCCGCCTGTTCGCTTGTCGGGAAGCCCGCTTGCCCGCTTGAGTGTCCCGCCCGCCGTACCCAGCTCTTAGGGTCTACCCGCTCGGCCCGACTGTCAGGTTCCGCCAGTTCGTTGGGCGCGGATCGTTGAGGGGAGGGTTGAAGCGGAGTGCCAGGTCCGATCTGACGCAATGGACGTGCGCAGGCCAAGCAGCGCGCGCTCTCGCATCTTAGGGAGCGCCGCAGCTGAGCTCCAGGTCACATGGATGGACTGAGCGAGCGTGAGCCAGGCGTCGCGTTGCTGCTGCAACAAGTATCTAGGCAGGTCAGCAAGCCAAGGCCAACAAGTGAAGGCGCTAGGAGGAAGCGGCGGCGGGCCACACCCAGAGACCAACCCGCATCCCTCGAGAAAGGCGCTGAAAACATGTCGCGGCCACAGGGCGCTGATATCGAAGCGCATTCAAACCGAGAAACCAAAGTCGGAATGGTGAGCGCCTGTACTTCTGCCAGTCTCGAAGGTCAGACACGGTACACATTGCTGGAGAGAATTAGAAGAGGAGGTAGATGATGGGATGTGGGAAGGAGAAGGACGGAGGGCGAACGGGGAAGGGATAAGATGGGCAGAGGAAGCAGTGCAAATGGATAAGCTTTGACAGGAAGCAGGGCGAATGGAGACGCTTGGAATGAAGAGGAGCAGGAGAAGGACCGAGGGAGTAGACGGGTGAGAAGGCTGGGACAGGAGGAGGAGCATGACGAGAAGGAACGATGGAGTGATGATCAGGAGGACGAGGATGAGGACGATGATTAACGGAGGGGCAGCGTCATAAGGTGCACCTGTCCCTTCCCGAGCTGGCTCCTTGGTTCTGCAACGCCCCCTCCGATGTGGTGCATCTTTTCACGTCCAACCAACCAAGGAAGGTATCGGCGAATGCATGAGTGACCTGCGGTCGAATCCCGCCACGGTGCCTTGGGAGTCTCTTGGCCCTGCTCACTCTGGAAGAAAACATGTTGCTCATTGACTTATGGGCCCAGGGAAGATCACGTGGCACAGCCCAGAAGCGGTCCCGACATTTCAGTATATCAAGGTCTGGACCTTCGAGAATCCCGTCATCGTGTTTAATCCCCCCAATAGCCACGATCGAATCGAGCTTGGAGGCGTTCACCGACCTGCTCGAGGCACGGTGGTAGGTTCTCTTCCCAGGGGGGGGGGCAGGAGCGTGGAGGAAGAGGAGGACGCACCTCGGCCCTCCCCTCCCTGACTCAATTGGCCCTGTGACCCCCCGCCCCTCTGAATCCGCCCAGCACCTTCAGTCAGCCAAGAGGCAGCGGGGGATGGCGTCTGCCCCTGGATCCAGTGGGGCGATTCTCGGCATCGTCGACCGAATCGTGCGCCTCACGGCAAATGAGCAGGCGGCGGGATCTCTGCCACAGATGGACCTCGACCAGCTCCGATACCGCGCGGCGGAGGCAGCCCAGATGTTGGGCCCCGCGAGCAGCGAGGGAGCGGTGGCCGCGGCTGCGCCGACGCTGTGCGCGCTGGCCGTGGCGTGCGTCGGGGTGGTGGAGAGCGCAGAGCTCAGCACGGGCCTCGCGCGGCTCGTCTCCGCGGGGTGCGAGGTCCTCGCGGGGCTGCTCGCGACCAGGTCGGGGGGCAGCGGCGGCGAGTCCGTGGAGCAGCTCGTCCACTTCAGCTGGGTCGACGAGACGCTCGAGGAGCGGTAAGTCAAGCGCAACCCCCGACCCAGTGGGTAGTTGGGGGCTGGGAGGGCCCTGCGAACCCGACCTGGCAATTCACAGATGTCTTGCCAGCGAAGAGAAGATGGCTCCAGATAGTGGAGTGGGGGTGATGGAGGAGGTAGTAGAATGGAGGACATAGGAATCAGGACGGATGAAAGAGCACTGCGGAGGGAGGGGAGGGAGCATGGGGCAGGGATCAGGGAGAGTGGAGGCGGGAGGGGAGAGGCAGGAGAGAGGAGAACCTGGGGAACAAGGAGGAGGGAGGAGGGATAAAGTGTGACAGAGGATATGGGATGTAGTGAGGAGGGGTGGACATTGAGAGAGGAAAATGAGCAGAGATGGGGCAGTGGGGAGGGAGAAGGAAGGGGGAGGCAGGAGGGGGTAAGTCGCGAATGCACGAGCCTGCCTTTTAACGCACAGGGCGCGGCCAGGTGCGGGCCACCGGGTGCTCGTGATAGTCCGACTCCGGCTCTCGTGCACTCTGGCCCGATCTTATACCCACAGCGTCCCCACAGCCCCGCCTGGCACAGGATCACGACGAGCGCGCGCCGATGTGCGAGTCTTACTGCGCATCGCTAGCGCACGAACTCTGCTCAACAACTACCACAGCTCCCAGCGCCCAAAGCGTGTTCACGCCGCCGCCATGGTGCTGAAGGCATCACCAACACCCGTACCAGCCACGACGACACTCATGGGCAAATGAATCGACCGCTGGAGGGAGCACCAGTACCGCAGCTAGGCCAACCACCACCCTCACAGCCACTGGAGAAAGGCAAAGGCAAGGCTAACGTTCGCCAGCCACGATGGCACTCTGACGCCAGCCTTGACAAGGGTAAGGACAATAGGGGCCAAGGAAAGGCGGATGCGAACCACCAAGAAGAGGCAGTGGTTGGCAAGAAGAGGCAACCCCAAGCCGGGGCCTCCAACCAGTACAATAAGAACACCGACAGTTTTGTTGAGCAGGTCGTACCAGTGCAACTTTTGTATTGACGGCGGCTGTGAGGATACACCGCAACATCTGAAGCGATGCCTGTCATGGAGACGAGATTTGGAAACACAAGGGGAGGGCTGCCCCTGGGATCGTCAATCACGTCGGACCTGATGTATGAACAACCGAGAGTGATATCCACACAAACTCCTACAAGACTACGGTCAGAAGCATTTATAGAGCCAGCTGCAGGTCCCCAGTTATCCCCTGGCTCCCGCAATGTGCCCTCCGTCCCTCGACCTCGCGCGCCATCCTCTTCCGTCGTTCCCCCTCGCCTTCTACCGAAGTGATACCTCGACTTCGGCCCCTCCAGCTGCCAGGCGCCAGGTGGGTTGTGATGGTGAGGAGGAGGAGGAGGAGGAGGAGGAGGAGGAAGAAGAGAAGGAGGAGGATCAGGAGCAAGAGGCCGAGGAGGCAGAGGAGGGGACCGCGGAGGAGGACGAGAAGAAGTGTGCCCGAAGGACTTATCGGATCAGCTGGACTTCCTCTCGCTGGAGGTGTGCTATCTACGCTTGAAATGGGGCTCCTGGGCGTCCGACGACTCGGTTCTTTCGAGTCGCTGGCCCCCATGCCTCGACAGTTTCCTTGGGGCCTTGTTGTTGTTGTTGTTGTTGTTGTGGTTGTTGCTGTTGTTGTTGTCGTTGTTGTTGTTGTTGTTGTTGTTGTTGTTGTTGTTGTTGTTGTTGTTGTTGTTGTTGTTGGTGTTGTCATTGTCGTTGTTGTTGTTGTTGTTGTTGTTGTTGCTGTTGTTGGTGTTGTTGCTGTTGTTGTCGTTGTTGTTGTTGTGGTTGTTGTTGTTGTGGTTGTGGTTGTTGTTGGTGTTGTTGTCCATCCAGGTGACTTGTGTTGGTCCTGGGGGCTCGGAAGCTGCCCCTGGACACCGACACTTATGGAATAAGTCATTGTCTGGTCGCCGAAGGTTTGGCTTTGTTTCTCCTGTCCACTTGGTCATCTAGCTACGCCCCGGGCCACGAGAGGCCCATAGGTGCGCCAGCACCGCCAGCCTCTGGCTGTCTGTGGGGCAGAGCTGCCGAGCGTGGCTACCGCCACCCGTGAAAGAAAGAAGTAGTCGTGCCTGTTCTAACTGGGTCGGGGCGGGATATTCGTAAAATGGCATCGACGTGTTTGGGTTTCTTTTGTTGTTTGGGGCATTGTCATAGGCTCCCATGGACTTCTGGAGACGTCTGGAGAGACCCAGACACCTATGCATGGACACACTCTGGGGAAGACGAAGGATTTGTCACTTCACCAGTTCGCGCAGGGATTTCGAACCATCGGCTGACGCAGTCGGCGAGAGGGAGTGGGTGGACATTGGGCGGGGGGCGTGAGGGACATTATCTTAAATGTCGTAGGTTGACGTGTTCGGAGCTCGAGCGCGGTCAAAGTGCAACCTGGTACGCCAACGCTGTTTCTAGGAACGCAAATCCTCCGAAACCTGCTTCGGTCGCTCTGGGCTGGAGCGACATGAGCCTCCCAGGGTGGCAGACACATGTGGCCTGCAGGTGTACTGCGGCCTGGCCCGCCTCGAGAGCGCCGTCACGGAGTCCGACGCGCTGCCGATCGTGTTGGACCCGGGGCAGGACAGTTTCGGAACTTATTGGGGCAGTTTGGAGCACCGCCAGGCCTTGCAGGACCTGTCCGCTTGGTTCAGGGCTCCCAATCAAGGGGCCACCCCAGGACCCAGGACTGGACAGACAGAGGGGGTCGGGTCCACCGTCTCTCTTCCTTACAAGTGCACGTATACATATCTCTATATGTATATATCTATATATATTTATACATATGTGTATATATTTGTATGTGGCCTCATCGTCGCGCCGCCAGGCGTGTCAACATGTGGTTCACGCTTCCGTGCCGTGATTATTCGTCATGAAGGCGTCGGGGGGAGGGCCGGTGGTTTTCTAAATGCGTATGTTCGGTAGCGCCGCGCAAATCACATACAGAGTCTTCAACAGCTACAGGAATGGAAGGCGCATGCTGTCACACGTTTCCGACAGCCACATGTTGAGGGCGGGTGTTTCCCCATGTGTATCTTGTTTTAGCACCATGGGCACTCGTTTTGAATATGTCCTAAGGAAGGGAGACAGTGTATTTTCCAAGTGGGGCGCTCGCTCGAGAATTCCTCAGAACACAGGGCAATTCTCGAAAAGCGTGCATCAGCTCAACCGATGAAGCGCGCCCCCTTTTCAAATACTGAGCCTCTCGCCAGAGATATCCTCAAACAGTTTTCCCAAAGTAAATTTCCGTTTCACGGTTGAAACGCGGTTCTTTTTGCAAAATTGTCTGATAGTTAGAAACGTAATTGATGTGCATGGCCTATTTCTTTGCATTACTTGTTTGTAGCAAGGAGTGAGCAGGGCAGTTCATGTCCAGAACGGGGGTGTCGCAAGAATGGCGATCCCGTCAGGTGCTCGTCTTTTAAGGTGCCGCTTCCCGTAAGGAAAAGGAACCTATAAGGAATTGTGGGAATGGGACTTCGGACGGGTGAGTGCGTTGGAGCATTGCTGACGCATCCTGGTTTCTTCTGGTTCTCCTCCTCCCCGCCCCCCCCCCCCCACCCGCTTCTTCTTGCTTGCACCCTGCCCGCATAGGGGATGGGGCAAGTTCTCGAATTCCGCAGCAGGCTCCTGTGCGTCGTCTTCCGCGCCTTAGGGCACCAGGTCACCGCTGAAACCTTCACTGCAGTGATCATGCTTCACATCTATGATCCCCCTCTCTTTCTCGTTATGGTTTCTCTCTCTCTCTCTCTCTTCCTCTCTCCTCCAGTTTTCCCGTATTCCTGTGCCCCATCGCGTCTCATAGTTGAGCCCGCAGAGCAGTAGCCAAAGAAGGCCCTGCTCCAGGAAAGTAGCCGAAAACGCTGCATGCTGGCAAATCGTATGGACGTCGGGGGGAGGAATCAGGATGTGAGGAGGTGAAGTAGGAAGAGGGGGAGGAGAAGGAGGAGGAGAAGTTGCGGGAGGAGACAAGTTGGACAGAACGGAGAAGAAGGGCGAGGAAGAAACTATTGCCTCTTGGGTTTTTCTTGGGGTCTCCTAGGGGCCTTCTGGCGGGCCCATCGGGTTTCCTCGGGTCTCTAGTGGCCCTCGGGTCTCCTCAGCGCCTCATCGGATCTCTGGTGGCCTCGTCTGAAGCTTTCGGAGGGAGTCTTGAGGACCTCTCTGGGCCATCTTGTGGGTCCTTGGGCCGCCGCAGGGCCGCCTTCGAGGTCTCTGGGGCCGCGTTGGGGTCCAGTTGGGCTGTCTTGGGGGCGTCGAGATCCCTTAGACGGTCTTGTGTGATTATCGTGAGTGGCTCTCGGGCAATTTGCGGATCATATTGGAAGCGTGTTTGGCCGCCGTCTTCGGTTGTCAGAACCCCCGAAAGGGTGAGAGCGCCGACTTCATTCAAAAGCCTGAGGGCCATTGTTTGCGTTGGGATCACCTTGAGTACCTTGAGGCCCAAGACGACCCTCAAGAGAATCGCTGGTCGGCTGGGAACTGGGACGAGGAGTGCTGGAGCTGAGGTGGTGGGAATGCGCCTCCCCTCCCCTCCCCTACCCCCCTCACACTGCCAAGGCGCCTCGGGTCTCGCCGTGCTGAGCCCACAGGGCAGGAGCAACGGCAGGCCGTGGCTCGCGAAAACTAGCCGCAAATGCTGCATTCGGGCATATCGTTAGGCCGTCAGGGAGAGGATGAGGGATAGCAGGAGGAAAAGGAGGTCTCTTGATGGCTCCTTGGGGCCCTATGAGAGCTTCCTGAGTGCCTCTGTGGGCTCTCTTGAGGGCACCTTCGGGCCTCCTGGGGCCCAGAGCTCGCCTTGCACCCTCTTGGGTCGTTGCAGGGCAGCCTTGGGGGCCTCGCATGTTGTGTTGGGGGCCTCTTGGGGTTGTCTTGCCATTCTGGGATCCTCTAAGGCTGTCGTGGGGCCGTCTTGGGGGCCCTGTGGCCGGCCGTCTTGGAGTTATCTTGGAGGCCTCTCGGGCCATCTTGCAGGTCCACCCGTCGCAGGCCCGCCGAGTTGTGCCATCAAAGCGGGATCACGGCGGGCCCCGCGAGGGGGGAAAACCCGCACGCCAATCGATCATGCCGTGGCGATGCTTTGGCCATCGTGGGGCCCTCTTTTGGGACATGTTGGAAGCAAGCCCAGACGACGGGCGGCGACGCGGCGGCGCCGGCAACCACGCAGCAGCCAGACCGCCAACCAGGCCCAGTTCCTTATCACACAAGTAAGAGCACCTAAGTGCAAGCACTGCTTGGGAATACTTGCTGCTTCGGGGGGCCATCTTCGGGGTCCTCTTGCCTCTTGGAGCCGTCGCCCTCTTCGGCCTCTTCAGGGCTTGTTGGGACAATGTTGACCCATCTTGGAGCCGTCCTGGGCCGTATGTCGAGCAGTGGCGAAGCGCCCTGGCTTGCCTATAAGCCCACCAGAGACTGTTCTGTTTTTTTGTGGTTTGCACGAAGTGTTATCAGATCAATTCTGGCTGAGACTGTTTTGTTTTTTGTCCATCGGCTCTACGGTCCAAGAACATGGTTTTTGTTTGCTGAACATCCTTTCATTGTAAAAACATGTCGTGGTAGGCCTTCAGGAATGCCGGGACGGTCGGTCCCTGCTCAAGCATGGGGTTCATTTTGAGGACAGCCGGGCCCGTCTTGCGCCGTGACGCCATCTTGAGCCATGTAGGGTATTGGGGTGCCGCCGGGCGATTGGGGTCACCGCCAGGATTCGCGCTTTGTGCGCCTTAGAGCCTCCGTGGAGGAGCAAGCCTTTGACGACCTTCCTTGCCACACTTGTCGGAGTCCAACACGGCCAGGACTGGCAGAGGGAGCCACGGCGGGCCCTCCTTCGGGAAACCAGTGCGCACTTGTGGCATTCTGGTACGTCGTCGGTCCGTCAGGGGGGGGGAGAAAGGGGAGAGGGGGAGGGGAGGAAGGGGAAGAAGGACAACGACAAGGAAGCATCTTGGCGGCCTCCGTGCCTCCTTGAGGTCTTGGTGTCTTCAGGGAGGCTCCGGACCACTCAGGGCCCTCTTGGTCGGCTCTAGGGCGCTCTTGACCAGTCTGACGACTTCGAAGGCAGTCTTGAGGACCTCTCTGGGCCGTCTTGGGGTCCTCTTGACGCGCTTGAGGGCCCTCTTGGAGATCGCTCGGGCCGAATTGTGCAAATTTTCAGCTCTTCTTGGGCCATCTTGGGGCCTTCTTGGGCCGTGTTGGGGCCCTCTTGGGGGCAGCTTCGGTCATCTCGGGGTCATCTTGGAAGGCACTCGACGTCATCTTGGGGTCATCTTGGGATCATTTCGCCGTCTTGGGCCTATCTTCAGGTCATCGAAGGCCCAAAAGTATTGGGACTCCAGGTCAGTGGTCTGCGGGTGCGCTGGTCTGGTGGGGATACGTGAGGCATGCTTTCTCTGTAAGCTGTAGCGTGCACGGCCTTTCTCCTTCCGCTCTTCTGCTTGAAGACCCTCTACGCTGCCAAGGCCACCCGGCGCTCGCAGGCTGGCACGCTGGGGGCCCGCCGTATTTTTGATGATTCGCGTGCCCCTACCAGCCCGTGCAGAAACGATCACCAGGCTAGGTGCCTTGATCAGGCAAGTGCAGGAGCATGCAGTTGAACAACGCGGTGAGGAAGCCATGGAACCGACGCTCTAGATCAGCCAGGGCCAATCCAGGAGTGGAGCTGCTGAGCCTGCCGTCGAAAGAGGGGGCGAAAGAGGAGAAATCGGAGAAGGCGGAGATGGAGGAGGGGGAGGCCCTCGGCGCTCGCGTATCATAGAACGCCTTTGCGTATGATGCCAAAGCCATGGCGTAGAATGTCTTCCACGGGACCTTTCGTGCCCTTTTTGGGGCAGCTAGGAGGGCATCGACCAAACATGGAGCGGCGTGAATCAGTGTTGCCCCCCTGGAGCACGAAACATCACCTCTAGGAGTCGTGTTCGGTCGCTTTAAGGGTTGCTGTTGGATGCAAGTGGGGCCTTCTTGAAAGCCTTGACGGACCCCTCTTGGGGCTCTCTGGAATGACCTTGGACCCATCTTAGCTCAAGGCTTGCGAGGTCCATCGGAAGGGAAAAGGTGAGAATGCTAAACTCAGTCAAACGATATGTGTGTTAAGGATTTGAGCCTGTCGGGGGTATGCTTGGGAGGATCCATGGCCACTTGAAGCCATTTGGGAGCAGTCGTGGAGCCTGTTTCAGAGGTATGATGGAGGATATTTGGAGCCATCTCAGACTATACTGTGCGACCTTGGAGGCCACACTGGACTATCAGAGGCCATCTTGGAGCCCCCACGTCCCGACCCATGAGAGGGGTAGGGGGAGAAGTCAAGCTATCCCCCCGAAAGACGGCCGTCTCGCTTATTCCCACCCACTCGCTCAGCACTAACCGTGTCGCCATCGGATGGACAGCCATCGCGTACCAATACAGACGCCAGGAGCGCGACATTCGCGAGATGCGCCACGCGTACCGGGTGCGCCAAGTGACCCAAGGACCCAAGCGTGCTAGGCGCGCCAGATGCGCCACGTGCGCCAATTGTGCCACATGTTCCAGCAGCGCCAGGTGCGCCAGGTGCGCGACTGCGCCAGGCGGTGACAGGTAAGCCAGTGCGCGTGTCAGCACAGTGTGGGGTATAGTGCAGGGGTCTGTGCAGAAGGAATTCGGAGGGTATTGAAGGGGGTGCGGCGATGCCCAAGGGAGAGGCTGACAGGGGGGTGATCAGCAAGCTGGGAGAGGCAACGCCTCAAACCACCTGCGCACGCGGGCTGGTCGGAGCCTCCGCTCTTCCTCCGGTTATTCTCATCGTGCTTCGCCCCGTCCTGCTAGATTTTCCTCCTCCCACCTCCTCCCTTCATCCACCCCTAAACGCTGCCGACCTTCTCAAAGAGGGGGATTCACAGGGGGGTATTAGATACGGCGCACCAGCCAGGTCTCGGCCAAGCGGCTCATGGAGTTCGCCAACCACGACTGCTTGCTGTTGTGCGCCTTGTTGCGCGGACTCTTCGCCGCGCACGCTGGAGACAGTGGTCTCCCGGACGACCTGCTGCAGGTCCAGGGCTCGGCGCTGGATGCGCTGTGTGGCCTCACGGCCCCGGAGCTCGCGTTCTCGTCCCCAGGGAGCTGCTGCGGGGACAGTATCGAGGCCCAGAATCAAGCCCTGGACGTCTACCTGGAGGTGGTCTGCGCCGCCGTCGTGGAGACAGGCTTGTTCGGCGCGGCTCTGGACGTCGTCTTGGCCAGCGCTCGCAAGGACGCGGCTGGGCTCGGCACGGGAGGCGTGGCCATTGCCCGTGGCGCCGGGCTCTTGGGTTTCTTTGCCGCCCTCGTCCTGGAGGCCGACACCGCTGTCGTCACCGAAGACGACCCGCGCCCCCCGCCCATCCACTTTCGGGAGGACATCGGGGCCAGGAAGAAGAATCGGGATGGTTTGGGACCGTTACCCCAGTGCAAAGCCATGCTCGGCCAATGACCACTAACCTCAGTCCGCCATCAGGCTAGCAATCAGTCTGTGTACAGCGGCGCTCGGCAGCAAGACTGGGAGCTGCACAGGCTATGATCATCAGCAGTCGGGCTGCGACTGCAAGTCCGTACGTAAGCCTGTCCAGCCGCCGCCGCTGCTTTTTCTTCTGCCCCCTGCTTGGTCTTGGGCCAGCCACCCTCGCTCTGAACACTGGTCCCCCATTACGGCCTCCTTGCAATCCGCGCGCTCCGTCTCTGGCGGTCACAGCGGTCCGCCTCATCTTGGTGGAGCGGTCTCTCTTCTCTCAAGGGCGAGTCCACTCAGACGAGGCGGCGAGGCACTCCGACAGACAGTCAATCCGACACTGAGTTGTGAGCACAAGTCTTTGAATTCTAAGGTGCTGGCCGTGCTCAGCACGGCAACAATGATATTTCGATCGGCGTTGGTCATGACGCTGATCGGCTTGATGTTGTGTGATCTAAGCATGACGACCAGAGTGGCCATGCTGGTGACCAAGATGATGATGACCCAGATGGTGCCCAACAGCCTTTGCCAACAGCACGAACACGATGCTGGTCATTCCATGGCAAAAGGTGTGGTCACTATGATGATTCAGGCTGTCAGCAAAGTAGCGATAATGGTGAGCTGTTTATTTTCATTGGTTCCACCCAGCAGACAACTCCTTGCGACGACGTGTCCTGGGTTCCGCGTGGCGGGACTTGGGGCACCCTCTGGGTTTTGTGATTTTGGATTGTTCAAGGAACTAGCCGCCCGTGTGTAAACAAGTGATGGGGCCAAATCCCGCCCCCCCCCACACCCTCTTCCCAGCAAGTCCCGTTCCGGGTAGCTTCAATGCCAGGGACGTGCAATTTCCGAGTCGCGATGCCGAACGACAGTTTGTTGCCAAACACGAATGATGGATGCCTCAGGTTGGTCGCCTAGCGCCACCAAGCAATCCAACGCCGGCCGGCCTTGATGAGCCATCGCTGGCTCTGAGAGTCCAAAACGCGCTAGTTGCTCCGCCTGCCAGTCGAACGGGCGGTCTCACAGCCGCTCCCATGGGCAGCCCCCACCATTCGGCACTGATCGGCCATCTGACTGCGGCCACAACGAGCTCGTCCCCGACTGCAGCTCCGACACGAGCCAGGCTCTCGTAACCCGCGAGCAGTTCCACACCAGTTGCAGCGGTTGGCCATGCAACGTCTATGCACTGCAGGTCATGCATTCACGCCTGTCGTGGTGTTCCTCACTGCTGGCGCGCTATTCAGCCACGTGATCTCCCAGGGCTTTTTGGCGCGTGTCCGTGCCGACCAACATCTCAGTCACTCCCCGAGTCTCCCGCGCAAAGACTTTCGCACCAACGGCTACACTCCAGGCTGCGTGCTGCCTCTTCTCAGAGTGTCTCCCAAGCACCAGGGCTCCATGGCACCGAAGCGCCTGTCGTTTTCTTCACGCTTCCCCCTGGAGTTGTTGGCCGCACCCGCTCAGCATCCGTGGGTTTGTGGTTACCCTCGTTGCCGTCCGAGACAGTTCCCTGAACTGCCACACGTCGGGCAGTCTCACTGTCGCTGGTCTCCTTCGCAGCCACACTGGCCATGCGCTGGTCACCTGTGGACTTTCGGTCTCGGGGATCGAGCGTCGGCGCGGGGCACACCAGACGGGGGAGCCAGCTGACACGTTGCGAGATGGCAGATGTGCTCGATCGCCCCCGCCAGATCCAGACCCGCCGCGGCGCGGGAGCCTCTTGGCACCATGGGCTTCATGGCAGGGAGGGGAAAGGGGGAGGGGAAAGAGGGAGGGGGGAGAAGGGGGCAGGGGATGGAAGCGGGGAGGGGGAAGAGGGGATGCGGAAAGGGGAGAGGGAAGGGGAACAGGAGTGGGGGTAGGGGCAAGAGGGGAGGGGGTGCGGAGGGGGGTGGGGGGAGGACGGGGGAGGGGAATAGGGAGGGGAAGGGGGGCGAAGGGCGGGGGAAAGGGGGCGCGGGATGAAAGCGGGGGAGGGCGACAATGCCCGGGAAGGAGCTGTACAGGCACGCCGACAAGCTCGGTAGCCTGTTGGAGGCCGTGCTCGCTGCGGGCAGCGGCACCCCCGCGCAGCTGCGCGGCCTGGTCTCGAGCTGCGCGGCGCTGTCCGCGGCGCTTGCCGCCGCGCGCGCGGCCGAGAGCTCCGAGGACGGCTTCACCCTCGCCTGCCGCATGCTGCTGCAGACCTGCCTGGAGGCGGGGCTGGGCCCCGCGCCCGACGCGGTCGTGCTGGCCGCGCTGGCGGCCCTCGCCGCCAATGTGGAGGACCTCGAGATCTCGCACGCCCGCTTGAGCGAGCTCATCGCTGCGCTCCAGCCGGAGGGCCGCGCGCGGGCGCGCTCGCGCCTCGTGCACTCGGACAAGCGCGGGAGGCGGCCGGACGCCCTCCCCCCCGACACGAGGGGGAGAGGCGTGAGGGTAGTCGGGGGTGCACGGGCAGGAAGAGCAGGAGCATGAGCAGGATGACGCGGGAGAAGGAGGAGGAGGAGGAGGAGGAGGAGGAGGAGGAGGAGGAGGAGGAGGAGGAGGAGGAGGAGGAGGAGGGTATCCATGGGTGCAGGGAGCGCTTCGGGCTGCGGGCCAGCGGACCGAGCGTTGGGAATCGCGTCTGTCCATGCCCAGGCTCCCCGTCTACGGCGACGCCGACCGAGTGCTAATGCTCTTCGACGAGCGCAATAGCGTGGCCACAGTGGCGGCTCCCTCGGCGCCAGCGCCGCGGCCATTGGAGGCACCGCGAGCGGAGTCGCGGCAGCCGGGTGGCTTACGGAACCTTTTGGCGAACGCGCCGCAGGATTCCCCGGTTGTCTCCCTCATCCTCATTTTCTTTTTCCTCCGACTTCGTAGCCATTTTGGCGTGTCGTGGGCGCCGCCGCACGGGTTTTTGGGATGATTTGGGGGAGGGTCAGCGGTGTTCGGGGGCCGAGGACTGCCACGACGTTCGCCCCACCCTGCCGCGCCAGTGTACAGGGCCGCCAACGGACCTCCCCTCCACGCTGCCTTTGCCACACGGGGCGGCGCATGTGCAATGACGCATTGCTGTACTTAGCGATAACATCACGTGCGTGATTCAGCCAATGTCAGAGCATTGTAGCTTTATTTGATGGGCTGGCGAGAAGTTCAAACACGCAAACAGTTCCATGGCATAGATACATGATAGCCAACGTCGACCCCTAACAGTGTGTTCGTAGCAGTGTATGTGGTGTGATCGATGTGGACCAAAGTAGGTTGTGCAATATAGGTGGAGCAGCGTCTTTGGTGCAACCTACGACGTGCCATATCTACGTATTTCTATACATATATGTATATACGTGATTGCAGCGATTCCTCGACGCGCGTGGGCTCTGGCTTCAACCTCTCATTCGCCGGGCGCCCCCGCGCGTCCGTCTCTCCCCCGCCTCCTCCCGTGGATGCTCGCCTCGCTCCTGGCGGCTACGGCGTCCTCTTGCGGCTGGCGGGCGCGAGCTCCCCATTCGGCCGGGGCCGAGGCCCCCTTCTGGCGGCCTGGCAGCTGGGCCTTCGGTGCAGACCGTCAACGTGCACCTCACCCCTTACGTGGGCCAGCGAGGCCCCTGGCGCGGGCCTGGCGACCCGCGACGTGGGCACGCAGACGGAGCCCGAGGAGCCGGCGCCCCGCCCGCCTCTGGTCGCTCCACCCCGCGCGCCCCGTGCGGCGCGCGTCGAGGCCTGGGCCTACGCGGTCTGGGCGGCCCCGGACCTCGTACGGGGGTCCACTGCGGCGCTCGGCGGGCCTGGGACGCCATCGCCGGGCGGATGGGCGGCTACCGTTATTTCCGCGGCGACCGCCTCCGCCGCTTCGCCTCGGAGGACGGGGCGGTCGCGGGCTACCTCGCCGAGGCCGCTCGCCACGGCGCGCCAGTGCCGCCGCCCCTTCACCGCTGGTGAGGATGGCGCTCAAGGAGGAAGTCTTCGACACTGGCGACGGGGAGTTCCAGGACCCAGAGGCGTGGTTCGAGCAGGCCACGCCTCAGTACGTGGAGGCCTCCTCGTTGCTGCCGGCCCCTGCTGCTGGTGGCGTGGCCAGGGAATTCGGGTTCCTCACGCTGACGGACAGCGTCGACTCGGACTACGAGGTCACGGTGGCTGCGCTGCGGGTGCGGGCCGACGCGCTCTCGACCGTGGCGGCGGTGCCGTCAGGCCGGTTCGACACGGCCTGCGCGAGGCGATGCAGCGACCAGCCTGGGATCGCGTCGGAACGCCCCTGGACGGCCAGCTTCTTTCGGCCGAAATCATGGAGACCCCGAGCACCCTGGTGCGGCGCTTTGCTTCGGCGCCCCCCGCCGACGGCCAGGTCTACGCTTTCCACGACGACGGCTGGTGGCCCGAGCCCGCGGCTGCCGTGGGCGCTATCCCTGCCGAGATGCTGGCGACCCTGAACTCCCTGCGGGCGAGCCCGAGCTGGGGGTGCCGAGCGCCCTGCCCTCGCTGGGGCCCCCGCCGCCCGGCTTCGGGCCGCCGCTCCGCCCCCTCTGATTCCCGGGCCGCAGCCAGCGGCCAACGCGGCTGGGTTCGCCGCGTGGCGCTCCGGGGAGGCCCCCCCGCCCGCCCCAGCCGCTACGACGCCGCCGGACGAGCTCGTGGAGCTGAGTGGCAGCAGGCCGACGCGCTAGAGGAGGTGAGGAGGCTGGCCGCCGACTTGGAGGAGTTGAGGCGGCAACGCGAGGCTCTGCAGGCGGAGGCGGCGGGCCCCGCTCAGCCGAAGCCTGCCACTCGCAAGGCCCTCGCTCGGAAGGCAGCGCCGCAGCAGCAGCAGCAGCAGCAGCAGCAGGTCTTGGAGCAGATCCCCGCTGGCCAGAACGCGCTCCTGGAGAGGGTCTCAGCCCTGGAGGCCAGCGGCGCCCCGCCTCGGAAGGCGGCTGCTCCGCCCGACGCCCGCCCGCAGCAGGCGGCCGGCCAGCAGCCCGGCGCAGCCCCTCGCTGGGCCCTCCTCGGCCCACCCCCCCCAGGCGGGCCCCCGTCTGTGGCTCGCGGAGGCGGAGTGCTGACCCCCCTGGGCCTGCCGGCCGCCCGCGCCGCGGCCGCGGCCGCTGGGCCTCCTCCACCTCGCAGGGGCGGATTGGCGAACCCTTTTCCTGCAGAGGCCTCCCTCGGGCCCGACGGCGGCGGACGTCTCGGGGCCCCCTTCGGTGGCGGGCCTTCCGCCCCAGCACGCGCGCGGCCCGGCCCCTCTGCCGGCGGGCCCGGCCGGGGGGGCCCAGCTCTCAGGCGCCCCCGGGGGCCCCGGCGGCCGCGAGGAGCAGCTGATGGCCCTGCTGTCCCAGCAGGTGTCTCTGTTGGGTGCCCTGGCTCAGAGCGGCGGGCGCCAGCCGGGCGCGCTGTCGCTCCTGGCGGGCGTCGGGCGCGACGGCGGGCATGGCGAGAGCACTGGCATATAGGCGGCGCGCGCGGGGCCGCCGCGCTGGAGCTGTTCCGCCGCCGGGCCCAGGCCAGCCCCGGGCCGTCTCCGCCGTGGCGAGGCGGAACCGCCAGCTCAACATGGCGGGGGCCGCGAGCGAGGAGGGCATGAGCGACTCCACGCGCAACTACTTCGCTCGGATCGCCCCGTTCGGGCAGGCGAGGTCGTCGGCGTTCCTGGTCTTCGGCGTGGCGGAGGTGTTCGATCTGATGGGGCGCGGCGCGCGGTGCGCCGCCGAAGCGCAGTTGGCGATCCTCCTCTGCGCGTCGGAGCAGGCGGCCCTGCGGGAGTGGCGCTGGACGTCAGCCCGGCTGCTGACCCACCTCCCCGAGCTGCCCTGGACTTCGATTCGCCAGGCGCCGGCGCGCGGGCAGATCCGCCCCGTGCCCCGACTGGCTTCGCCCGAGTGGGTCGCGGAAGCGATCGGCTACGCCAGGGGCGCCCTAGCCCTCGAGGACGCGGAGCGGAAGCTGGCGCCCGCTCCAGCACCGAAGTCCGAGGAGAGCGGAGGCAAAGGCGGGGGCTCGATGCGCCAAGGCAAGGCCGGCGGCGCGCCCCCCCACGAGTGAGAGCGGGGCCCTCCTGGCCTGGCGGCCCGGGAGATGCGCGAGGCGGCCCCGGCCCACCTGCCGCGCGGGCGCGCGGGGGGCCGCAGGGTCTGGCTGGCGGCGACACTTCGATGGACGAGGGCATTCGCTGGGTTTTTCCCCGTATCCTAAGGATTGGGGTTCTTGTTATTACTCTGACGCCTCCCACTCCTCCTCCTTCCTCCCGCCTCCCGCCCCCCTCCTCCCACTGATAATCACCAGATAAGATAAGACATGATATAAGATAAGCTAAGACAAGATAAGAGATTTCAAGATAAGGTAAGATAGAGGGTAATAAAGGTAAGATAAGATAGGACTCGATAAGATAAGATGAGACTCACTCTCACTCAGACTCACTCACAGTCACATTCACTCACACTCACACTCTCTCATGATCACAAAACGCTGCCAGGGGCATCATTTGGGAGCCCCAAGGGGGAGCCACCCTGGCTGATCTCACGAGCCCGTTCGCGCCGATTTTGGTGGGACGTCTCAGCTAGAATTGCCGTTTGGCGCCCCCAACATGTATCTCTTGAGAGCCTCATGGTCACAAAACGCTGCCAGGGGCATCATTTGGGAGCCCCAAGGGGGAGCCACCCTGGCTGATCTCACGAGCCCGTTCGCGCCGATTTTGGTGGGACGTCTCAGCTAGAATTGCCGTTTGGCGCCCCCAACATGTATCTCTTGAGAGCCTCATGGTCACAAAACGCTGCCAGGGGCATCATTTGGGAGCCCCAAGGGGGAGCCACCCTGGCTGATCTCACGAGCCCGTTCGCGCCGATTTTGGTGGGACGCCTCAGCTAGAATTGCCGTTTGGCGTCCCCAACATGTATCTCTTGAGAGCCTCATGGTCACAAAACGCTGCCAGGGGCATCATTTGGGATCCCCAAGGGGGAGCCACCCTGGCTGATCTCACGAGCCCGTTCGCGCCGATTTTGGTGGGACGCCTCAGCTAGAATTGCCGTTTGGCGTCCCCAACATGTATCTCTTGAGAGCCTCATGGTCACAAAACGCTGCCAGGGGCATCATTTGGGAGCCCCAGGGGGGGGTCCACCAGGGGCTTCATAGTCACCAAACGTTGCCAGGGGCAGCATTTTGGCTCCCCAAAGAGGAGTCGACCCGGGCCTCCTAGTCGCCAGACACTGCCAGGGGCACCATTGGGATTCAGACTCGCACCCAGACTCGCACCCAGAGTCACACTCAGATTCATTTCTTCAGAGTCAGGCACACACAGACGTACCCATGCTCAGACTCACCCACACTCAGGCTCACCTAACCCAGACTCAGTCAGAAGCCAGTAGCGAAGAGAGCAGAGAGGAGAGAGAGAGAGAGAGAGAGAGAGAGAGAGAGAGAGAGAGAGAGAGAGAGAGAGAGAGAGAGAGAGTGAGAGAGAGAGAGAGAGAGAGAGAGAAAGACAGAGAGAGAGAGAGAGATGAGAGAGAGACACGAGGAAGACTAGAAGCACAGATACGAGGAGGAAGATAGATAAGAGGAGAAGTGGGAAGAAAGAGAAGAGAGAGCAAGAGAGAGAGAGAGTAGAGGAGACCAGGTAAGATAGAGAGAGAGAAGCGAGAGATCTAGGGCAGTGAGAGAAGAGAGAGAGGAGAGGAGACGGAGAGAAGGGCAGAGAGAGAGGACAAGAGAGAGAGAGAGAAGAGAGGGCGGAGTTGATAGAAGGAGACAGGCGAGAGAAAGAGAGGAAGAGAGAAAGAGAACAGAGCAGAGAGAGGAGAGCAGAGAGAGAGAGAGAGAGAGAGAGAGAGAGAGAGAGAGAGAGAGAGAGAGAGAGAGAGAGAGAGAGAGAGAGAGAGAGAGAGAGAGAGAGAGATCGGACAAGTAGGCGGACCAGGGTCCGTCCGCGAGGCGCACTGCGGTGCGACAACTCGCATG